AGAGAATTGTTCTGTAATAAAAATTCACATCCTATTCTCTGATAAGTTGTTGTGAAGTGTGAAAAATTCAACACTTACAAAAGTTTTTGATGTTTAAAATATTTTTTGATATTCTTTCCTTCTGTTGTAAAATGCGGTAAAAATTAAATATTGATAAATTAGCATTTGTAATTGATAAAGAAAAGTGATATTACTGATCGAAGAATTATGACATCTATCATTTTTCAAAATGAATATAATTTAAGACAATAAGTTTAGTTTTTTCACTTCGTTATTAATTAACTTTCGGATAAATGCTATGAGTGATATTACTGATCAAAGAATTATGACATCTATCATTTTTCAAAATGAATATAATTTAAGACAATAAGTTTAGTTTTTTCACTTCGTTATTAATTAACTTTCGGATAAATGCTATGAGTGATATTACTGATCAAAGAATTATGACATCTATCATTTTTCAAAATGAATATAATTTAAGACAATAAGTTTAGTTTTTTCACTTCGTTATTAATTAACTTTCGGATAAATGCTATGAGTGATATTACTGATCAAAGAATTATGACATCTATCATTTTTCAAAATGAATGCAACTTAAGACAAAAAGCTTAATTTTTTCACTTCATTATTAATTAACTACAATTTTATCATTCAGATAAATGCTATAATTTTCATTCAATTAACTACATTTAATTCAATAACGGCAAGCTTAAGTATAGAGATTTTCCGGATCCGAAATGAAGGCAATCTGAGTGAAGTGGATAATCTTTCCGGAATGCATTAAATATAAATGAATTCGATGGAATTTCTTTTTTTCGAAGTAACTTAAAATAAATATTCGAATTGATCAATTTTTTCTAAAATGATTAATTCATATTTTCTTCCTTACAGACAGGCAAGATAGGTAGGTTTCAAATTTTCCTCCTTACAGACAGGTAAGATAGGTAGGTTTCAAATTTTCCTCCTTACAGACAGGTAAGATAGGTAGGTATATGAGCATTTTCACCTTTGTCTTTCATCATTTCCTTTCTTCCCACAGCTTCTTCCACTCTTATATTTGTTTAACAGATAAAAGCGCAGTTTCACGAGCGTTACTGGACCGTTTTATTTCATCTTTCCGACAATGACCTCTCGTGAATTTCTACAAAATTCTACCTAAACATCTCAAAGCAGTATGGGAATAATAATAATATGAAAATATTGGAATATTTATCTTGAGCCAGCACTCCTATATTCACCTCCAAAATCTGATCCTGATATGTTATCACAAATCTCAAAGGATTCGTAACTGATAGATAGCAATTTCAAGAAACCATTAATTACGAAAAATATATGAAATAAAAATTAAATTTGAATACTTGCAAAAATTTCAGGAGTGAGAATCTTGAAATAATAATTATTATTTAATTTTAGGTATTAGGTACCAAATCAACTTTCCCTAATATTCATTATTAATTGCAAATCTTTTCAACAGTCTTCTTTAATAGTTCCAAAAAATTTCACCTCAATTTCTTTTCAACTTTTCATCATAAATTTGTCCTAATTAAGGAGTATTTGATTCTGTTGAAATAGTTTAATTAAGGAAAAGAGGCAACGAATAAGATGAATATCGAACTTTTTAATAATAAAATATGAAATAGTTAAAAAGAACTATTCAAAATGACAGTTCTTTCTAATATTTCATTTCCCTCATTTCACATATTTTTGAAGAGTTCGAAAAATTCATTTGTTAAATTTATTATTATTTCAATGAATTTGAAAAGGATAAAAGGATAAACGATTTGAGAATATGTCGAGCGCAATTGACAGATGAAGAGGAAATGGAATGATTTACCTCTTTCTTCTTCTTCTTGTTCAACAATATTAATATCGACAACGATGTCACCAACATTTCTTATTATTTTGCTAAATATTCAGAGTTGTTTCTTTGATACGTAAATTTTACATTCAATTCATCAGGAAGTTTTCAAAATATTGAAAAATTTCTCATTTTAAAAATCCATTCCAAATTCAGGTAAACCATAAATATCCAATTTTACGTTTAATTTCATTTCACCTAAAAATTTTTTCGAAGAACTTCTTTTTTTCGACGCAAACAACAGCAAAAGGTTGTCAATAAAGAAAAGTTTTGATTAATTGATTAGGTAGTGAAATTGATATTTGTTTTTCTAATTAAAAAAAAAGCTTAATTATAGTTAATTGAAATAATGATATTTGCTCCATAAATTGGCACAAAATCATTATTTAAATTTTTTTATCACTCTATTAGTTCACTTAGAATTACCGCAGGGCGAACAACCAATCACTCTTCATTTAATACTATTCGCCAACTTCAAAGTGTTTTCAATGAGAAGAAGATCGGATATTTTTATTTCGTTGATGTTGAATGATTTTCTTCATCTACAAAACAACAACAACTTCTTCTTTTTTTTCGATTTTAAAATTCAAAATTTAAACTGCTGAAGAAATTACCAGTTTTTTCTCACTCAGATAACGCTTACAATTTTTGCATGTAATATTCATAACATTTTCCTTTCCTTATCTTTTTGGCGGTTTAGCTCTTTTTGACTAATTAATTTAATTAGAGGGATTTGGAAATTTTTATTTGGCAAAAAATAATTGGTGAAAATTTTTTTAAATATAATTCATAATTACTTGACATTGAATTTCACCTTATATTATTTTTATTTTAGTTAACGTGAAAACGTAAAATTATCTGTATGATATAATTCTAGTTATTTGACGTGGAATAATTCAGACTAGTTAAGTTTTGATGAAACAAAAATTTCGGATATTTTATGGTTCACTTCTCTTTCGTCATTTCTTACCCATTACATCATTTCTTATCTTATCTTTGAATCATTTTGATTTAGTTCAAGTCCATTTTAATTCATTTTTCACATATTTATTATAAATTAGAAACTATTAAAGACAAAAATGTATGATACTTCAAAATCTCACCCATAAGAGGGCTAACAAATGCATTAATTAGAAGAGCGAAAATTAGATTTTTGTCGCAGGTATGTTTCCAACGATAACAATATTTTCACAAATAGATTAAACAATAATTCTGATCGGTCATCAAAAATTTTCCTATCTTTTTAATACTTTTACATGGAATTTATGAATTCAAGTATTATCAGAATTTTCCACCTAACAATAATAACTAATAAATGTCAAAATTTCTAAATCATCAATATGAATATTAGAAATTAAAAATTCCGACCAAATATTTATATACTATTCATCATATATTTATTAATTTTTTTGCACTACGACTTTTGAATGTTGCCAATTTTTTCTTCAACATCAACAAATCAAATGAATTATCATAGTGATTATTAATTCAGTAATTATTCACCGATTGTTAATTTATTAATTATTCATCATTATCATCATTAATCTTGTCTGAATTTCGTCTGTAGCTGAATTTATTCGTTACAATTTATTTGTTGTTAAAATTGACGAATATTTCGTTACCAATTGTTTTTTGTGCAATGTGTAAGAATGAATGATTTCCGAGAAATTTAATAGTAAATTGCAAATTTTTAATGTCGAACATCAATTGAAATAATTTCAGGTACACTAAATCATGCACCTTTCATTTAATCTGCTTATCATTTCAATGTTGGTACAAATATCTTGCAGTCAGTTCACCTCTGAAACATATCCTGATCCACGAATTGATCCATTCAACTGCAAAATCCCAACCACTGGGCCGGTATGTGATCCAAGTGAATTACTTACATTCAACGAGAAAGAAGCGCTTTCCAACCGAATCAAACAGGTTCATTTTATAACATTCAATCTGATCCGATATTGAATGATGATGATCATTCGAGATTTCCAGCACTACAGCAATTGCAAAATTGAGGACGGAACAAAAGCATTTATGATTTTAGAAGATTCAAAGAGCTAATTTATTATTTTGAAACAGTTTTTCAACAAGTTTTGAATAGAAGACGAAATTTTACGGAATAACAAAAGAAGTCCGTGAACTTTGACCATTTTATTTCTTAGCTTATGGCGTATGCAGCAACAATTCCAAACTCATCACCGACATGTCAGTTATTTCCCGGGAGAAGTTTAGATATTATGGTTGGAGTAGTGGATAAGATTGGTTTACTACCGAGTGCTCCAGCTGATATCGAAAAATTCGCCAACAATCTCAAAATTCGATATCAACGTTATCAAGTATATCTTTTTGTTCGAAATGAATTGCTGATTAATATCGATCCATCAAGTGATTTCTAGAATTTCGACAATTTATATTAAATTGAATTTATATCAAATTTTGTGATTGAATTTAAATCACTTATTCTAGACCTTAAATATACAACATGTTAAAACTTCGGTCATTTTTACTTTTCCTTATATCACTCTTGATAGTCAATATCATGCTTTAGGTTCATTCTATTCTTTGCGTATAAAATAATATCTGATAGATTTTACTACAACTTCAGGATGTGGATTTATGCGATTTAATGGTATTGATTGTAAATTCAAATAGTGATCGACAGGTATTTACGGTGGTTGGTAAGGATACGAAATTAACGAAAAATGTTCTCAGAAATGCATTTGAACAGAACATTAATCATTTCAGGGTATGTTTTCGAAGAAAATTGAACAACAAATAATTTACTCGAGCGCTTTTTCAAAGTTTAATGCAATCATGCATATTTTTAGACCAATAATTTTGCAATCGGCCTTCAAGGCATGGCTGAGTATATCACTAGATCTTATCGTGATGCGCAATTATCTCAATCTGGTACTTCATCATCAGCATTTCTGCCAGTTTTCATATCTCCTGAAGAGTAAGCGTGTATTTCGGGTTTCCTCTTATTTCACTACTAATATCAAAAGCTACTAATATCAGAAAATTCAAATGTGCAATTTAAATTTACTTTCCAGTAAAAGTAATCATTGCGATTAGTGATAGGGAAACAATTGACAATTTGGATATATTAATTCCAGTTACACTTTCTATTTTTCATTTCAGACATTCCAGACTTGGCGGTGAAAATGAAATTGGTGAAGAAAACCTCATCGTTCCAGTAGAAGATAAAAGCGATCAGCTTTGGATTGATATTTTAACACAGGTCATTTAAGAGCTTAAATGATAAGAAGTGGATTGATATCTTTGGTTTGTAATACCGATTGTATTAAACAAACCACTGGGAAATAAATGTACTTGTATGATACCATATTAACTTTGGTATCATAACATGATATTCTACTTGAAAAATTGTTTCCTACTGCTATCTTGAACATTTTTTTAAAAATATAACTGTCATAATGAAAATTTCTCATTCCTCAGGCAATGGTACGATGTGGCAATAATCACGATAAGATGGCCAAATATGCGCAAGCAGTTGCTGAAGGTTTGTTTAATTAGCAAAATAATTTTACTAGCGTAAAATTGCGGATATCAGTCTGTGAATATCAGAAGGAAATGAGACTAACAAAAACAATTCATTTAAATATTGAAACAGATGCTTCTAAAAGAATTAAAAACATATATTCCAAAATAAAACCAATAATTAAAATGCCACAAAAACTGAAGAATATCATAAAATCAAAACAAACAAGAAACTATGATCTCTTTAACCTATAAGATCATCCAGGCATCATGTTGTTCTTGTTAACAAATCGAGTCTTTCCAGAGGCAATGTCACTGTCAATACGTCTTATATCCGACAAACGTTATTTGACAATTGAGGAAAGGATGCAGTCGATGCAGAATGATCCAGAAACTCGATCGCGAGTATGGAGTGAAGCTAAGGCAGAATTCATCGATCAGCTCTATCAGAAATATTTTACAACAATTAGAAGCAAAGCTAATTTGAGGTGTCCTACTCCAGAAGCTACTCGCACATTCTCTGTTCTACATTAAAATTAATTCAGTTTTGCAGAGCAAAAAATTTTGCACAATGCTTATATATCTAGCTCGATATGTTGCAGAATTTTCCTGGATTTTGAAACTAAAAGTAAACTTTCCTTTAATCCTCTTTATAAATCAACTTAAACATTAGACCGATTTTCTTGGACTGGATAATTTCATCCTCTTAGATTCCCCTCTCCCCCCAAAGTACTTAGCGATCATATCACCTGAAATATATAAATCACCGAAATACAAATACCAGTCTGCCAATTTCGAGTTATAGAAAGATTATTACCCTATGCTGATCATGAGTGAACTGTTATTTTACCATTCTTTACTATTTTCAAGAGAATAAGGAACCTCGTTTAGAAAGGGAAAAAACGTGTAAAATTCATTTCACTGCAAAAGAGCAGTAATCAAAACATTTGAAATCATGCGCCTCTTTTTTCCTTTTAGAAAATAAACCTGTATTATTTTCAAGGATCAGTTTTTAGGCCACATACATAGTTCGTTAAAAAAGGAACGAGTGGCAATCGTAATAACATTTTATGTTGATGCTATATTTATCCCTCTTATTTTCTCTATTTCTTATATACTAACTAACACAATGGCAAGTTTCAGTGTTCATCTTGTAAATAAAAATTCAGTGATTTACGGTATTCAAAATATCATTATATAAAAACATATGTGACACTGAATACAACGTATAGTATTTTATGATCAACGAGACGAATTAAAAAAAGGAAGAAAAATGCATAAAGATTAAAAATGACTTAAATTTTAAGATATAAACAAAACATGGGAATGTTTGAAAAAATAAAAGAAATAAAACTCAAACGTAAATTAGAAAAATAATAATATGCACTTATATGATCACAATAAATAACAGGACAATCCTTTCAATTCTACCCTCTTTCAGAGGTGAGCAATGAGTAATAATAATTCTACTACTTTTTAGTAGCTGTCAAAAAACCAAAATAATTTTACAATATGAAAATATTAAAACAATCAAACTGTTTTTGTATTTTATATTTGGAAATCTTACTATAAAAATTGCTTGTTTTGAATATTCTCAAATCAAATGATTAGTTGCACTAAACTGCGTTAGTTCACGTAGTTTCTTAATTAACATTCTAAAGAAAACTGTAATTGCTTAATAGCAAATAATTCCTTTTCAGTATAAATTTGTTCTATGAACTAATCATAAAAAGGTTTATCTACTTCATTTTTTTAAACTTCGATTCCTGAAGAACTATAAGCAGTACTTTTCGAACACCACAGGAGGTTATATGTATTTCAAAATGTTTTAAGGTATTTTGGTTTGTACTTCAGTACTACCATCTAACAATCGAATTCTTTTGAACTATTACCTCATCAAACATCTACCAATCGAATTCTTTTGAACTATTACCTCATCAAACAGTTCCGAATTATATTCTCCCAGATCCATTTAGCTATTAAAAAAAAATAACAGCTAATACTAATAATTTTTGTTACTTATAATGTCCCGAAGAATAAACACTCTCCATTAAATAATAAATCTTCACAAATTATTCGACTATATCAATACAAACCTTTCCTCCAACATAAAAATAAAATTCATAACAAATGTATCATTTCTTCCACACTTTAATTTTAATAAATTACTCTGGATTCATTAAGTGTACATCTGATCTTAAATTTGGAAAAGAATTTTGATGTGAAAAGCTAACTAATATATTCCTTCTTCTTTCATTTTTTTTATTGTCGTAATTTTTCCTAAAATTATTTCAATATTCTTCATTAAATGGAAAGAAAGGATGATCCGCATCTCTTGAAAGATCCAAAATACGCCAGTTTTTATCTAAGCCATTGATCAATGCCATTTCTTCAGATTTGAGTTCGAAGTCGAAAATATTAATGTTTTCAATAATCCTTTTCTCAGTTACGGATTTTGGGATAACGACTAGTCCACGTTGGAGAGCCCAACGCAATATTACCTGAAAATAAAAAAAAAACAGTTTTTTAAAACTGTTGAAATACTCAACAGACTATTTCGTTAGTTATCTATTTTAATGTTTAAATTAAACACATCGAGTTTTAAATTTAAATTAAACTGCATTCTGACTTATCATTCCAAGATTATTCTAAATCATTAAGTTCCTTGGAAAAGTGTGCAATATAGAGTTGATATTGAAGTATAGAATTAGTTTACAGAAATTCGTTATTTCAAAACTTAACATTTACCTTAAATTAGCTAGCAAAATGATAAAAAGACACCTTTCTAATTTAAATAAATTATACAACGTTTAGATAACCAAATACACTTAAACTAAAATGGCTTTTTGAACAGATATTCGTACTTCATACATCAACTTGGATCATGATAAAAAGAGTTTTAGTTACCAAAAAAAGTAACTGAAACAAAATCCCTTACCTGTGCAGCTGACTTATGATGCACTTCAGCAAGCTTAAGAATTATGGGATCATCAAGTAAAGAAGCATCTGTTGCTTTCCTGAATGGCATCGTTGGATTTGCCAATGGACTATATGCGGTCAGCACTATTCCATGCTCTTGACAGAAATTGTGTAATTTGTGTTGTTGGAAATACGGATGAAGTTCAACCTGAATTCTCCTTAGTGTTATCCATAATTAATAGATCGTCGTTAACTTCTCTTCTGAATGACCAGCCTAATGAATGGCTAAATTTTGTATATCCAAAACTTTATGTTTAAAAAATCCTCTTAACATTACATTTTTGGATATCACTTATCAGCTCTACTTGAAAAAAAAGAACAGAAGCTTTAAACAAGCCTGCAAAACAGCTGGTTTGATGGTGCAATTATTGATCACCCGCAGAATTTGTTTATGGTTAAAATTCGACAATCCAATAGAGCGGATTTTTTTCAATCTCACACACTCTTCCATAGCGCGCCATGTATCCAAGTAATCAATATCGGAATATTTAAATTTTTCATCATCTGATCTCTGAATCATTGCAAATAATATTAACTGAATTTATATATGAATAGGACTTTCATAAGTAAACGAAAATGAAACACTTCGGAATAAGTGATCTTAAAGATATTTTAACCACATGCTAGAATAACAAACGAAAATGACATTCATTTGTATTTGTCACATTCACTTTATTAGATATTCTACTAGTCAAATTGGTTTTATCGATTATTAATGCTTATTTTCAAACGCAGTTGTAAAACAATCTCTAGCTTAAGCAACTATTTCATTGGACTTCAACAGTTTACACAGCAAATTTGACTTCTCAGAGAAATTGGTACAAAGACAAAACCTTGGGAAAAAGTCCATCACTTTCATCATATCCTTGTGGCCAGTGGATGAGACATAAGTCCAGGTAATCGAGCCGAAGTTCTTTCAATATGATGTCTACATTCTTCTTAGCCATTTCATGTGAATGGAAAGTATTCCATATTTTCGAAGTAACAAATATATCAGTTCGCTAAAATCTTTATAGCATCTAAAGAGCTTTGAAAACCTTGAAAGTACTGGCGCTTTAGAATATTTTAAAGTACTTTAGACATATCGACATATTAAAAAGAAACGTAAAACAGGGAAAATTATGATCAGAAATTTTTAAACGTAAAACTAGCGAAATCAAAAAAGCATCGTTTATAATCATTCTTACCTTCACATTTCCCTCTTTGAAAATCTCAGCAAATGTTTCACCCAATTCGATTTGATTTTGATATACATGCGCACAATCGACATGCCGATAACCATTGTTGAGAGCAATTTTAAGTGCATTTCCAACTTTACCAGGCTGTGAAAGCCAAGTACCGAGACCAACAGTTGGAATGTAATGTCCTGAGCTTAATTTGACCATGGATGCCATAGTTAAGTAGTATACGAAGAAAATGCTTATAGATGGTCACAAGTGAAAGTGGTCTAGAATGAATGCCAAATTGCAAAATCAAAAAATTATCAAATGGCTAGAACTAGTATAATCGTAATAAAGAAATATTAAATTATGGATTTATTTCGGTTTCTTGATTTGTTCTTCTACATAAAGTTTGTTCAGACTATTGCTCAAATTACGGCAAAGCCTCTCTCGCCCTTGTGCACTATTACTATTCATATATTTCACCATACTATTCATATATTTCGCTCGATCGGTCAAGCAACATATTTATGAACCTTTCACAAGGTTATTCTCAAACAAACTTCCCTACCGTTCATATACAACGCTAAGCCTTCCACGATCCCAGATCACTAATCCTGACTCCTGACCCTTTTATCATCAACCTTTTTCACGGTCCTCAACAACAGACTTCCCTAGAGATGCTTTTCCATCTTCTGTTGTCTATCAGTCTGTGGTCAAAAGTTCACAATATTCCATTCATCACCACCATTCCCATTTGCTTCTAAACATTTTCCTAATTCTTATGAATCCTTACCATCTCGCAAATTACCATACTGCCTTTATAATAACAATACTTCATATATAGTTTAGACTTTCCAATGATCTTTGTGATATCCCAAGGAATTACCACAGTTATCACTTCAGCCTTTCTCAACTTTATCATATCAAATGCAAGCAAAAGGTGCTATGAGCTGGAACTTGGCACTGTTCCAATTGCTGTCGTTTCATTTCTGCAAGAGAGAGAGTCGTCCATCTATCTTCTCATGATGATCCTACACCTGGTCTCTCTCCGTCAACTGCGCTCGCTTCCCTCCCAAGGCATCCTTTGTATTTTGCTTTACTTGTGGCTTTCACGCTATTCACGGACGTGAATTTCTATGCCATCTCACACTTGTAACTTTTCCCACAATTCACTTTAAAAATTTTAAGTGACTTTCAAATTTTATTACCATTTAATTTGACCTTACTTGCATAAAATTATTCATGCATTAAAGTTCAAACGATTGAAATTGACAACTTCAATAAGTTATATTCTTCCTTCCACATTTTTCCTATCCAAGATTAGTGATAGTGTAAAGGTAATTTAAAGGTAATTTAAAAGTGCCATCATTATAACAGACGAATCATGCTATCTTCGATTATACGTTGTTGTTATTTTTCTATGATTTATTGTGGTATTTCTATCACAGTTCTGAGTGTAATGTTCGTGTAGATGTATGGCTGTCAAGTTGGTAATAATCATTTATAAATTTAATTAAATAACCTTTTATCAGTGATATCCATTGCAAAGGTCAAACAGCATTTCATCCCTTAACTCTTTTGCTTTACTTATGAGCAGAAACAGCTGGGATTTTTTCTTTTTTACTTTCATAGCAACAATTTAACAAGGTGTCAGGTGACAGACAGAATCGATATGCTTCAAGCAATGAAGTATTGTAAAAGAATAAATTTTGTGTAATAACCGATTACTCGGATGCTTATGTACTTTTCAAGATTTGAACAATTTTCATACTTCCAGGAGTGCTTGCAAATGCACTATAACTAAAATATGTTGTAAATAGTATCTCACTTTGGTTTACTAACTCTAACGTCATAAATTACGGCCAATAAATAGCATGGCAACAACATTAACCACTTGTTCACAATGTACGACTTACAACGAACAGCTCAATAGCAAAGCAGACGAAATTAAGGTTTTGGAATTCGTTAATTCCAAGTTTGAACTTGAGACTATTCTTTAAACTAAACTTCCTATTATTTGAACTATCTAATTCTGCAACTGAAAAGTTGAATTGCTGAATCGTGCAAATTTATGAAAATTAATCTCTGCTGTAATTTTGCAGTTCATGAATCTTAATTTTTATGGTTAAATTATTCTGCTCTAAGAAGTAATAGTGCTTCAAACGGAAATTCTAAGCTGCTAAATATTTTATTGCAAGCAAAATTCCACTTTTATAGCATATAAAAGAATTATTTTGCTGAAGGATCTGAGTATATCGAAGGTATCTACCAAAGGTAGAGATTTTATCCTGGAAAATTTTGATTTTCAAATAGCACCTATAAAATTTGCAGACTTTGCAAGAACATATCCTAGAATTGGCTCATAAGCTGCAGGATGAAAGCCGAAGAAAGGAAGAATTACAGGAACGCCTGAACGACAAGCTGGTCAGATTGAATGATTATGCCATCAAAATTAGGGTCAGTATCCTTCCTTTTCCCTCATTTGGCTTTTATCACTTCTCTCAAATTTTTTGTCAGTTAATTGATCTTAGTTTTTATGTGGAAGTGATTGCTTCCTTATTCCCTGTTTATTGTCCATTTCATTATTCCATGATCATGTAAAACTCGAATTATTTTCGGACAACGAGTTAAGGAAATCTTGCAAAAAGCTAAGATATGTAAACCTTATTGGTATTACTGTTACATTCCTGCAATCTTAATATTTTTAACTAAAAAAAGGCTTTAGAAGAATTTTCCTCGAAGGTTGGCGAGGAACTGCACTCTTCATCCTTATTTCCACTACAAATTAAGAATACAGGGTTGCTTTTTGTCTTTCATCATCAGAAAAAGCTTTTCATCGCAAATTTCCATCAATTTAGATACTGTAACTTTTGTGTAAAAGAAACCTTTGATAGCTGTACCATTCATAGTTCAGAGACAAAATCAAAACTGCATTATTTGCAAGGAATTACTGGATATTTATACTATCATTGATATGGAATCAGAATTTTGCGAAGTAAATGCTTTTCAAAATTGCACGTCTTTATGTTTTGTTCATATTCTAATCATCTCTCCATCAGTATTATAAAAGATTAAGATTGAACGGTATAACATACAGATCGTGAATGGTTTACAATTTAATTTTATGAATTTATGAATCATTATAAGTTTCAAAAACAATAACGAATCAACTTTGTAGAGCCTTGAGGAACAGTTGCAGTCAGCAACTGATCGTCGTCCAATCGGTGAACTTTCTCGCGCTGAAGTTGACAGCATCATTGGTCGAGATCTAGAGTGTATTCATTCACAAGTGATCGAAAAGGTCAATGAAATAAATATTTCAAATTTCTCATATACATATATAGCGTGGATGAAAATTTTATGTGGATAAGAGTAATTTTAAGGATCACCTTATTACTCTTATTCGCTATAAAATTAAAATAGGAGAACGGATTAGCCGTCCAGTTAAAAGATGATGTGATTCATGTTAAGTGAAACTGCGAGAATTTTAAATGGATATAAAACTTTCAACTATTAATTTTTATGCTTCAGCAATAATTGAGAGAGGCTTTTGCAGGATATGAAAATAATGGAATTGAGTGATACGATACTTGAAAAGGAAAGGGATATTATTGAACTGCAAGAAATGTGTCATGAACAGGAAGAACTTATGCAAGCGAAAGCCAAAGCTTTCCACATCATACAGCAAAAACTATTGGTATTTTAAAATTTCTACGAGATAAACTTATAACAGTCGCTATAAAAATATTAATCTATGAGTTCGTTGCGAGATAATAAATGACTTGAGATATGACAGAAGCCACATAGATCGAACTATAATAAAGTCGAAGTCCGCCGTTCTAGTATTTCTCCATGATGGTAATTGATACTTTCCCATTCTGTGAAAGATTACGAAATAAGATCGAATTTTCTTACAACACTTTTTCAATATCTAGCTTGTGATTTTTGTGCTTCCTTTCAGAAATGCATAGATTTCAGGATTTGAGCACACGAACGACACGTGAAGATTCGACGGAAACCGAAGCAGCGTTTATTTTTGAAACCTCATGTACTCCGTTGTCTTTATTACAGCAACCACGGAAAGAAAAACGATATCAACATGATTCCTTTTCACCTGGACATGCTGTTCTAAATTTCAAAATGGGTTAGTTGATGGAAATTTTTCATACCGTAATCTCAGAGGCTAGAATTTCAGGTTCAACCTTGTTATAATAAAAAATGTAAGAATAACCTAAAGTCACTATACAAGATATTTCAACAAGATTTTGTCTAGGTAGCTCAGGTTCACCTCCACCAGTTGATCCAAGTGAAGAATGCAGTTCACTAACGCTGGATAACAGTAACATACAGGACGACTTTGATGCTGACGATGGAGCCAGTGCATCCTCCTTATGCCAAAAGAAACATAGAAAGAAAGTAACTTTCGATTTGCCACCTCGCAAAGAATTCAAAAATGGTAAATTTTCATCTAAATTAAAAAATTCAATTTTCAAGAATGTTCGAAATTGGAATTATTTCCAAATTTTATATTTTGATGCATGACTTCTTCACGAAAATATCAGTAAATCCCCGGATGACATATTTCAGGTAATAGTCAAGAAGAGGGTAACAACATTACACAAGCTATCATCGATGTAACAGCTGAAAATGATCAGTTGCGACAAACAATTCAGGAAATGGAAAAGTGTGCCAGTGATTCACAGAACCATTTGAGCCAGGTTATTCTGCTAAGCCTTTCAAACCGTAGCAGGTTTTTTTGTGTTAATTATGAAAGTCCCCGAATAGCCGATGACCTACCTGTGCACTACCTTCGCTTCCACTTCCACTCTTTTGTATTGCATGGAGCCGGGCCATCCCAGCATACCCCATGCTATTTCACTTCCTGTTGGTTGGTGTTTTACTCTTCTATAGTCACAATTATTCAAATTTCATCCCATTTTAAGCTGATGATTTCTACTGAATCTCAGTTTTATTTTGTATTGCTGTAGTCGGCGGTTTCCGAAAATATCGATTGGCACCTTATCTGCTCTTTCAGTTTTTTTTATTAAATTGTATCGCAAACATTTTAGTCTGAAGTTTTGTAATGTGTTTTTAAGGTGCAGTTTTTTCTTTAACTAAGTTTATATATATAGAGTTTATTGAAATTTACTGAATTTGCACTGTTCTTCATTCGGTATGTTTGGTCAATTAAATGTAAATCAAGGAAACATTTCAGTCTCAAATTTCTTGTGTAGTATGGCTAAGTTTAGAGACATGTTTATTCATGTAATTTTCAATAGCGACTGGATTTTCAGCTCCAAACACAATTAGATGAAATGTGTCGGGATGGACGGAATCAAGTGCTGAAAGCTCGTGCCTCGATGCAGGGAAAAATTCGTGATTTGGAAGATAAAATTTCTACAATGAATACAGAACATGCTGACAAGGTTACTTTTTGTAAAATTTCTCATAAAGCAGAGTTTTAAGGCTTTTTTGAAGACATATTAATTTTGTGGAAGAAAACTTATAAAATTATTAAGAGCGACTTAAGGTTTCGACGTTGCCCAAATATGTAATACTTTCGCAAATATGCAAAATTAATAGCCAGTGTATTTTAGGTTGATCATTTGAATGCGAGCATTGAAACACTTAGAGCTGATCGTGAATGGACATTGGAAGAAAATGCTCGTCTGCTGAGACTTCTGAGTTCTTATAAGTATTCTTTCAAGTGTTAATGCAGACGAAATTTCAATAAATGACTGTCTTTACGCTCGAATTTCGATCGAAATGCACAATTCGCAGTAAAACAGCCCTAAATATTTTCAATTTTAGAATTTCACAGACAATCCTTCCTTTGGCTTCTGCATTTATACCATTTGCTTCCATTGAAACGTACATGTTTCTAATGGATTTTTCTTTTCTCAATACTTTTTAAACGAATTATAGAGAAAAGCTGAGCAACGCATGGGAAGCATTGGAAGCAACGCAAGAGGAAAGTAAGGAACTTCGTTCAAGATTGGATGATGATCGAGCTTTAATTTTCCAGTTGGCTGATGATTTAGAAGTAGCACAACAAACAGCGAATACTCTATTAGAACAAAAAATATCCGTGCTTGATGATGTTGAACGACTAAAAGGTATATGTTTTTGTTATGACGGTATTTTAATTAATGATATGATTAGAGTAAAAGCTACCAGAGTTTGATTTTGCTACTCTTATTCCTCGTTTATTTCTGATTTTAGGAACTTAGTATTTCATTTCTTTACAGAAGCTTTAGAAGCTCAGGATCAGTACATTGAATTACTGGAGAAGGATACAATGATATACGAAGAGCATATTGGTTTGCTAAGAGATTCGTTGGGTGCTTCGAAAGCGGAACGAAAAGCGCTGATAAGATCGAAGGCTTATGAAGCAAAGCTAATGGCGATGGAGCAAGAAAAAGAACAAATGAATCGAAGAAGCAATGGCAAGTTAAACTTTTTCAAAAAATAAAAATCTTAAAATGAGAACATCAAAAGATTTGGAGAAAGAGCAGAAAATAAGAACAGAAAATTAGAATACCACACAATGACTGAAAATTGAAAAAAATCTTGGGAAAAGGGTGTTATGCTGCAAACAGAGAGTATTTGACATGAAAGTAGATGCTAAGAGCATCCACTTTCATGTCAAATCAAATCTCTAGATTTAAATGTTTGAAAATTACCAGAAATTTGACTTCAGTTAGAAGTCGGTATTAATTTAAACAATTTTACCAAGTGTTCTAGCCCCTTTTTGTCAACTCCATTGTCGCCACTTAATTCCTTTTCCTAATTGAAAAACAGAATAATGGGATATTTTTCATTTTATCAATTTTCCATTCCCATATTAGAATTCAATAAGAATTTATGCTTTTATTTAATCATTCATTAGAATGCATACTACAGTGAGCAAAGATAAACAACCTTCATATTCGAATTTAAATATGTGATATGAGAAAAATTGAAAAAGAATATCTAAATATTCATTACATAATCAACGTAATTATTGGAATTTTCTCCATTGCTTCTCCTTTTTTAGTGAATTCAAATGTAGCCATATTCATCAGGTGGAAAATTTACATTAAAATCAAGGGAAATTTGGAATTAGGAGATGTAAAACTATACGGCAAGAAAAACTAGTGTAGAACATAACAACAATAACTAGTAACGAAATCCAAATTTAAGTTTGAATAATTGGATAGGTATAAATTAGCCAGTAAAGAAGTGATGAAAGACAAATAAGTAAAAAGAATGTCATCGAGCATCATTTTCATTCAGTACAATTTTTTTTTAATTTTTAAAACATTGGACCCGAGAATTTTTATTTACACATTTCATAAAAATGAACCGTTTCCTTCCAATTCCCTTGAAAGCTGAACAATATCAAGCTATCTTCGATTTGCAATTCATAAGCAAAATAAGGAACTGCCAATTCTTGAAGATAACCATGAAATAAGCAAAAGTAGTTCGGTAATACAGCTAAATATGTTTTTGACATGGAAAGTAAGTTTGTGTAAAAGAGAGATAAACAAACAATAAATGGAAGTTACTGCGTCAGCACCGATGTTGTAGAATTAATAGATTCACCGCCACCAGAAATTGCCCTTCCACAAATTTTAGTAGTTTGGATTTTCGGAGGGTCACCTCTAGTACCAGTGTCGTCCACGTTCTCAAATGACTTATAGCAGCGATAATCTCGATCAAATGATGGTTGTCTTCCATTCGAATAGTTCACCTGAAAGATTAAATTTTAATATTACATATTTAATATTGCATATTTTAATATTTAATATTATATAAAATTATTCTTGATTTTATATCATTTTTATTAAAATTTATAAACTTTGCTTTTTTTGAAATGCAAGAGGAATAATGACGAAATTAGATCGTCGAAGTGCTAACTATTTAAATGATTCCAAGAGTCAATTCAAGATATACTGTTTTTGTTCGATAATATATACACATTTCCACTAAAAACGATCTTTACCTCGTTGGTACACAGTGGACAGAACCATACGCGATTTTTGATGCAGCAATAGATGCCACATGGAAAACATAGTACACCACGTAACAAACCACTCCACGTTAATCGTTTCTTCACGCTATCAATTTTACATACTGGACAAACTGCCATATCAACATGAAACGTTATGGTCGTAATCACTATCGTTACAAAGTTTTAGCAACTATTTCCTTTTCGGATCAAAAATCTTGCAAATGAAAAAATACTTAAGCTTCAAAAAGTGACACTTCAGAGGAATCAGGAAGCGATGAAATTTCGTCGCTGTCTGATATATGAGGATAAACGCAGAGCACTTTACAAGACTCTAATTAGTTGTAGTTGTATATCATTCGACCGCTTATTAATTACTGAATAATTGTTAATGAATGATAAGTTAGCAATAATACCAATAAATCAATGGCAGTTTGAGAACTGATGTCGTCCACTGTAGCGTATTATTTCATAGTATCATTCCTAAATATCAACAGTTGTAATGTTTAATCACAGAACTGCAGTTTCGAAGGGTATTTCTTCGAATTTCTAAAATATACAAACGATCTTTATTCAAGCTTTAAGCCTGCTAATAATCATAAAGTTATCTTTGCTTAATTTTACAATAAAAAGCAGTGACGTCAGTGTAGATGAAGAATGTAAGAATAAGTTTGAATAAATAAACTGACATTTTGAGTTATAAGAATTAAAAAATAGATTTTAATTATGTGATTAAATAATTAACATAACAACTAGCTCTATAGTTTATCACTACATTTAATGGGATGTCTTCATTATTTTCTTTATTAACAATATTGATTGTAAAATATGGATGAGAGATAGGATTTGAGCAGTGTTATCCGAACGGTTAAATAAATAATCCATAAGTTTGTCAGAGAAAAGGAAAAGATAAGATAAGTCTTTCCCTTCTCTCTGACAAACTTCTGGATGACGAAATAACAAATGTTCTCATATTTTGACGACATAACAAATGTTCTCATATTTTAAGTTAAAATATGAGAACACTTGTTATATCGTCATTTCACAATATTGGTGATAAGAAAATATTCTATAGATTAATTTTAAGTTCTGAAAAAAACTCTAGATTCGATCTAGTAGTTAGATAGAAAATAGGTGGCTTGTAGAGAGATGAATTGGAGGGATGGCAGTGGTGGTTATCGAAGTATCGAAAAAATAAATTAAATCGAAATATCGAAAGAACATTTCTTGCTATTGTTCGTCTTAAATTTGGAACCATTTGTCAGAAAATTATCCTTTTTGCATTTCCATCTAAGAATTAAATAACAATCAATGTATTGCTGAGAGCATGTCATTGATACAAAAAGTAGAAGGCATGAATGCTTTCGAACGAACATTCGTCTGAGGCATTATAAGTACTTGGTATACAGTGATGATTAATACTACACATTTTGAATAATCATCGAATCAGACAATCAGAAGTGAGAAGAGAAAAGTGTTGTTGTGTAAATGGTGTTATAAATAGATTGGACAGTATTAAATGTACTTAAAACAAAAGTAAAAAATATTTTTTTGATGAAAATTTGGATTAATTCATATTCGAGTTGTGGATTACTCATTCAGTGAACTATTTGAAGAAGAAGACTGATTTAGGTACATGAATTTAATGAGTGATAAGAGTAATGAGTGATTTAATGAGTGATAAGAGAAAATTTGATGAGTAACTAGAGTACAAGAGCTTATTGATGAGCTTATTGGAAGTTTTATTACTTTGTGGTGTAAGGAAAGGGAAAGAGTAGGATTACTAAGAGAGTAAGTGATAAAATTCGATACATCTCAGCTAAAAACGTATGAAAAGTAATTTGTAGTTATAAATCTGAATATTACTCAATAATTTATTATTTTCTGAGCTGTTCGAAATCCCATATATAATAAATCTTAGTTTTCTGGATAATCGTTGTATTTCAAAAAACTTTTGGATCACGAAGTAGAAAAGAGATTAATTGGTACTTTAAAGACTATTAAAGTAATGAATTAGGATAATTGGGATAATCTAGCTTGTGAAAAATTCGAAATTAGGAAAGATCTCGAATTCTTAATCCTAATGATTTCCTTGTAAAGAATTTGGGATATGAGGGACTTGTATTGAGTTTAGCTGTTTAAACGAAATAGTTCCATGAATAAACAAAAGTGAATTCAATGTTGAGATAACAAAGCGATACAGAAAATATATACAGAAAATTGCAATTCATTTCAATTTCACTCATTATTAATTAAAAAATTATATCAATGTTTCCGCCGCAATAGTAGTTAGGTATGATGAACTGAAGTGGAAAATAAGCACGATTAACTAACTCAACATCAATATAAGCAGGTTTAGCAATTAAATCAATAAGAAGCCTTTCAATTTTACCATTTACATGAAAGGGTTTTTCTATTCAAAGAAACACGACATAATTTAGAGTTTAGAGCGATAGATAAAGAATAAAGGAGTCAGAGAGTGAAGCTAGCAAGCCATTGTTTATTGGTTGCATGTCCTCTGGTGTTCATGGCTAAACGAGTGACTGGCACTACTATTCTCTTCCTGGCAGACATTCCAGAAAAAGACAGTGTGAAATTAGTGGAATTTCTGGAGTGTATCGAAAGTCAAAACATCCAAAAAATTTGAATTTTGGAAGAAACATTTTTATAAAAAGAGACAGTGAGATTTTTGGATGCGTTGAGAGGAGAAGGTGGAGTGATAGAGGGAAGAAGAAATGAGGTGACTTGTTTACTGCTGTTGAAATTGCAACAGCAACTGGTTGTTTGCAAATGGAATTTTGTCTGTTGCCTGCAAAACGTTTTACAAAAGGATAATTTTTGAGATATTTCAAAAGCAGAGAATTTTTGAAAATGATATTTCATCTTCTGATACACGTGGAATATGGCTTTACTTAGAAGCATAAAATACTAGATGTGAGATAAATTTGGCATCTGATTCTGAATGAGCGGTTAACCTGATTAACTTTATAATGGATACTGCAAATGCACAACGAATAAACACCAACATCCGCGGTTATCGAAACAGTCAGAGACATCTTTGCTACTCAATGCTCTCTTTCATTTAAAAAAATATTGAAAATTCATTGTGGGAATGAAAACATTAACTTTGGAATGTCATTGAGAGCGAAAAGATTGATTTTCGAAAGAAAAGAAAAAAGCATTTCCCATCGAGTAACAGAATTATTTCATCAAGATCCTGCTTGTTTCAAATAAGTTCCACATTATAAAACTGAAAAAGGCTGATTTTCTACGCAAGAAACTAACAGTTTTTATTTAGTTCTATTTGTTTGAATATTATGATATATGTTGAACTTAAGGACTTAAAAAAGAAATGATACATGTTGAACTTAAGGACTTAAAAAAGAAATGATACGTGTTGGACTTAAGGACTTAAAAAAGACAGAAATGTGGAAATAGTAGGGAAAGGCTTAGGATAGTGAAACGATTTTCGAATTTGGAACAGGCTTGTCATGCCATTGGAAGTTTTTTTAACTGAATTACAATTAATGAGAGCTTCTATGCAAAATTCACAAAATTCCGATCAAATATATATTTGAGGTTTCTGTTGAATTTTTATTTTGTCTTTTTTTTCTTCGATATCTTCCATTTTCAGATGAAAAATTGCATATAAAGGCTTTAAGTCTAAAAATCAATTCATTGGAAGCAGAGAAGGCTGTCCTGATAACTCGAAATGATGAGCTGGAATCTCGATTAGTTCAATTAAGCAAAAATGTTTCGGATGCTTCTGCTGTTGTCCCTTCTGATGCTGTCACTCCTGGTGTGATAGAAGATGATATTTCAAGTTTAGTCAGTTCAGGAAGCGCTTTCAAACCAATACGCACTCAAATGATGATACAGATGGTACTTTTCCTTAAGATTTTCCAGATTAAGTTAGAGGAATTCAGTCATAGAGGAAACTATTGATATTAAGTTTATGTTAACTTTTTTTGTTTACACAGTTCATCCGGTCTAATTGTTTTGCTTAGGTTCCAAAAGATTTTGTCAATTCTTTTTAAAGGGGCGAACTAATGAAAGACAAGGAGCTACAGAAGCCTTGCCATGGTCAATGCCAAAAAATGTAGCAACTGCATATGGTAACTTCTTGCTTTAATAATTCATCCATTGTCTAAATTAAATTCGTAAATTTTAAATGCATTGCTTCGAATGAAATTTGCATAACAGAACTAGTCAGTAGCTTATCAGAAGTATTGTTAGCTTTCATTACGAAGAGGAAACTTTTTCCGTGAGCAGTTATTTAAATTGTAATGGAAATATTTCAGGACATCAATACGACGAGAAGCTGGCAAATAATATGCGAACTGAGCTGAATGCAGCTCATGAAGAATGTTCCTTATTGCAGGAGAAGATTGTTCAGATGGGCTGTGTTAATTTTGAATTGGAATGTGAGTTGAAAGATACTAAAGAAAAGTTGGAGAAAGCTGAAATACATGCACGACAAACTGGAGAAGAAATTGAAATAGCTCGTCGAAACTGTGCACAGCAAGAGGAATGTCAGAAGTCGTTGAACACTGAATTCTCAGCTAAGGTAAGAAATGCCAAAAACAACTTTACTCAGAGTTTTTGGAAAATAGAAGTTGAAAAGTGGAATAGGATTTTGAAGTATCTTGAATACTGAGCATCGACCTTCAGTTTCATATGAATGATAGTTTACGATCACAGAACTATGAAGGAATGATCTCTTTTTTTTCATTGGAATTGATTTCTTATCAATTTTCGCATGTAATAATGCACGCTATATGATTGAAATCAATTTTAAATATATAAAAAATTTTTCATTCGTATTAAAAGGTTAATTATTAATTGTATCAATATAATGAAAGTAGTTATTTCCTCATATGTCAGTAAAAATTATGATCTATGCGTTTCGTTTTTTTTTTCAGTTCAGCGCATTAGAAAGAGAAGTAAATGATCTTAAGGAAGAATTACTTTTAAAAAATGAGGAACTGAAAGCTAAAACGATCGAAAATAATAAACGAAATGAAGAAATGAAGCAGTGGCAAATTGCTATAGATGAAATGAAAATCGTACATATGGAAATACAAATGTTAGAAAAGCAGGTAGTCTTTTAGATTTAAGGTTCAGCAATGAATTTCGAATCCCAACAAAAGAATTTCGAGATCCAGTAATGAAGCTTATTAAGAAATTTCGATGTTGGAAAGCGGAAGTAAAAAAACTGAAAATTAATTTAATTTCTTTTACTTTTAAGAAAGATTGTTATGCGATTATGTCATGAAAATGTCAGCCAAACATATTGATAATTACAACATCGATCCATAATATCACCATCTCTTGCTATTAATTTATTTTTATTAATCTTAGCACTTTTTCAGTTAAATAATGAAAAGGCAGCAGCGGAATCAAAAAAGAACGAACTACAAATACTACCGGAACAAAAAGGAGATATGTCGCTAGAAAGTTGCAGTGTAGAATCCGTTGCTGATGGAGAACAAAGCACCGTTACCCAGCTCAGGCAAATGGCGACTAAAATCAGTGATTTGAAAAATACTATCGATAAGCAAACTAAACAGCTTGAACGTGATAAGGTCAGCAATATCAACTATGTTCGACTAAAAATAATGTGAAGCCCGTTCCGTATTATGTTATGCTATGTTTAGAACTCATTAATTCTTCATTTTTTTGTACGCACAAGGAAGTGTTCACAGTGATGATTCATCACTAAAGGAGAAAAAAATAATTGGAAATTTCTGTACAATCAAAAGACAACAGGCATGATTCATAATAACTTCAGCAATAGTTTCAATGTTTGGTAGCTTTATTAATTTTTAATTCTTAATTCACTACTGGGATTTCAGGTGGAAAAACGAAAATTCAAAGCAGTTATTCGGCAATTGCAAGCTGATAAGGAAGCCCTAATAGCATCTTCTTCGATGAAAAACAGTGGTAAAGAACAACATATGATTTCACATGAGGAGCAAATTATCGGCCTACAAAGGCAACGAGATTTCATGGATCGTGAAATGACTCTTCTCTGTACCTTGAACAATTCAAAAGATGTTTTGATCCAAGCTTTGCAAGCTAAGCTTGAATGCATTTGCATTTGTCCTGAAAAGCCGGAATTGTTGGATTTAAAATCTGAAAACGATAGGAATGAGGTTTCACCTTTAATGTTTTTTTTTTTATTTTTAATTGTTTGTCTCACATTTATAAGACCATAACTTGATAAGCAGATTACAATCGTTATCTGTTAAATCAAAAAACCTGTCAAACAAAGAACTTTTACGATTTTCTTCAGTTAATGACATCTTTTTTAATATATTCATCCTTAAATGAATATGCATTGATCAACCTTTAGGGTAAGAACGATCGCATTGAGCAGTTGCAAGCACAGATAAAAATTATTAGCCAAGAGAAATCTGAAGCTTTAAATTTACTGGCAAAAAATAATGCTGAATTGGAAGAACTACAAATGGAATGTGATCAACTTCAATCACAGCTGCAGCTCTCTCCAAAACCAAATCTAAATGCCATATTTTCGGATGCAAGCACTGATCAGCATGCGCAACTGGAATTTGTTAACGGTGAAATGGAAGATTTGTCAATGGCTAAAAAAATGGCAGGTGATGCGGCTAACAAAAGTGTAAATATAGAGATGGAGACACAAATGGAAAGATTATTTGAGGCAATGCAGCAGAAAAATACCGAACTACAAAAAGTATTAAACGAGAACGAAGCATTAAAAATAAAGTTTGACTTTTACAAGAGTTCCTTAGACTAGTTTACTTTTTTCCTTTTTATCTGTAGGATTTCGTCAAAGTCCATTAAACTCTTAAACTATAATTGAGAAAACACGGTATGTCAGGCCACTACTGTTCTTTTCCATCAATTTTTGGACTTTCGATTTTTGTGATTAACTTCTTCAAACCTAATATTACGATAAATTTTTTACAACTCTTATATGGCCTCCATAGATGTAAGATAGTTAGCTTTTCTTTTTTTATTCTAATCTATCAATGAATGATTTCTATCCAGAATATGGTTTATGCTAAAATTTCGTTTCTTTTTATAATACAATAAAATTCATGAAAAAATATCAAAATTCTCACCAAACTGAGATTTTACTTACTAATGAGTTAGAAATGATTTTTTAATTTTAAACATTAATTAGTATAAATATACAGGTGTGTTGAGTCTACAGCTGCGTTGGATTTATTAAGCGGTGAATTGGAACGTCGAAGCCAAGAGAAAGATGCCATCATCGAAATGCTACAGTCACAGCATACTTACTTAACCCAAACTCTATTTCTCAATGAAAAAAGCGAAAAACAGTCAACGAGCCCGCCAACAGTATCACAAAGCACCAATACGGATATCGATCCGAAATGTGTGTTGTGGAATGCATCCATGGTTATGGATGAAGGTCTGAATCTTTTATTCGCTTAAGATTTATTAGTACAGCATGCGAGGCACGCCAAAATATTTCAGTGTGAGAAAGAGAGTATTTAGATTGGTGATGAACCGATAACTTCGAGCAAAATTGTGGGAATGCAGTGTTAATGGAAATGTAAAATTCCATTATAGGGCCTCATCGGTAAAACATAGAACGTATTATTTTGTCATATAGTTATAAGAAAAGATTTTCCAAATGTATAGAAGATTACATGTGGATTTTCGTTGCTTTTAGTTAAATGTTTACTTTTTAGCAGAAGATGGCCGAATTCCAGTTACGCGACATTGCGAAACACAAACAATGACTGATTGTCACATTTCTAAGACTACAGAAACAGAACAAGAGCTACCCTCAAAGGTTGGTCTTTTCTATTATTTCAGAGAATTCTTTCTAACTCAAAAAATACTAAACTGAAGCATAGAAATCCTTGTAGTTTGATAGTTTAAACTGAAAAACAAATGCTGGTGCTCTAACCATAATTAGGTCCTTTATAGCTTTGTTTTAAGAAAGTTCTTTCCTGCATTTAGTGATACACTGTAGTAAACTGTGAAATAGTCATGGAATTCATGAACAATTTTCGTTATTTTTTTAATTCTGTGTTAAAAAATATCGTCTTTCATCAAGCAATAAAAAAGTACTTGTATGACCAGCTTATTTGTTATCAATAAACATGATAAAAATGATTTGAAGCAGAAATTAAAAAATGAAGCTGAAATTTAGTTCTAATACTTTTTTGCAGTTTTTTATGCCATATCTAAATTTTCATTTTTTAGTCATCCTGTGAAGTTATTCGTGATGGTGATTCTGTTCATGAATTAGAAAATCAGGAAGATTGCCAATGTATAGACAGACCAAGTCAAATGCATGATAATTTAACAGATGACGCCAAACAGATAATAATTCTGAATGCGGAATTGGAAACTGCTGTTGAAGTCCTTAAAGGTGAAATCTGGACCCTAAATGAAGAACTCAAAGGGGTAAATTTTCTATTATCAATCTTCAGGCTCTAGGTTCTTAGTATTCAAAATAGAAAATTAAATTTTATGCCAAACTATGCGAAGTAATGGTCAGTGATAATTTATATAAATTTTTGTTTTAAAAAAAAATTCTCATAATAGTTGAGTAATTTGAAGTCATTGGTTGATCGAGAAGACTTGTCAGAAAAACTGTGCGATCTTTCGCAACGTCACGAAGAAGAAATTGAACGTGCTCGTGAACGGGAACGTGATTTGGAGGAACAGAAGGATATGGCCGAAAAAAGCCAACGACAGGTACAGATCGTAAATTAAGAGTCACTTTTTTCAAACTTAAAAGTTTTATGATTTTAGGCAGCTTTGGCTGAAAATGAAAGCAATCGTCGTTTGGTTGAATGGCAGGAGAAGAGTGCACAAATGGAAAATAGTCGCAAAGAACTCGAAAATGCGTATGCAAAGCTATCGGAGTACTATCAGCAGTTGCAGCAAGCTTATAATGTTTTATATGCCCGATTTAATACATGTAAAGTTGACAACAATACACAGACAATAATGAATAGTAATACCTTCAGAGCTAGCGAGGTGAAGCTCAAGATTATATTTCAGAAGTTTCACTCTTATTTATAAATTTCCAGTTTGTTTTAGTAATTTTGATTGATATAGTAGTGGCATGGAAAAAAAAGATATAGTGAATTAAAATTAATCTCAGCACAAATTTAAGATATGCTGATTTTTACGTAAATTAAACTATAGCAAGTATCTATGTTTTACCAAGATAAAACATTTAAGGAATTTGCTGAGAAGATCGAATATTTAAAAAATGAACTGGCGCAGCGGAAAACAGAATTGAAGAGGCAGGCGGTAGAACTGCAGCATGTTCGGGATTTGCTGAAGAGACATCTTCACGTAGCTCTGAAGAATGTCAGGGACTTTCGAGAAATAAATTTGAAATTGTTGAAGGTGTCTCTTTTAGAAAGACTAAATATTCATTTTATTTATATTCAAAAAAACTGAATGCCGAATTTTCAGTTTAATTTAAAGAAAAAAATATTTTGGAATTGAGTATTTAGCACGCTGTTGTATTTTCATTGAGCTTACGGTTCTTATTTTGAGGCCTCTTTTCAGTTTCTCCTATTTTTTTAAATTTATTGAAGCTAAGAAGTTGAAATAAATCATTTTCTGAAGGACGTCATTGTGGAGAGTATACAGACAGTCCGAGCTCAACTACATGAAACTTTAAAAGAAGTACATTCATATACTGAGGAAGTGATTGCCAAATGGTTTAAAGAGAAAGAAATGAAGGATGCCGAAGTCGCTTTTGCAATGCAGCAGCTTGTGAATGGCATACTAAGAGTAAGTTCTTGAATACCAAATCTTCCTTTAATTCTCAGAGTATTTGCAACTTTTTTTTGAAATATTTCTGTAAAAAGTAACTATTGGAGTACTATTCCAATTTTTCTTGCACCTCAAATTATTTTAACCACTCTTTAGCATGTTAAACTTTCATCGGATTCAATTTTCCTATATCGATACATTGAGCAATTGCATCACAAAACTTTGATAACCGTTTTGAATTTATCGTTTTCCGTGAAGGTGATTCAAGTGTTCATAAGAAACGTGATATGCATATTACATATTTCCTAATATTTCTTAGCAGTTGCCCCGAACAGTATTTACTTTTCAGGAAAGCATCTCACAAACAGAAAATTTGTCGTTGTCAGTCATTGTTGACGCTGTCAATAGAAAATTTTTAGAGAGGGAATCTGAAAACACTGCTTTGAAAAATGATTTGTTGAATGAAAGGAATAATGAAGTAGCTTCAGATATGGAAATACAACGGGTCATTTTTTTGATAAAATCATTATACTTTTTTCCATAACTCTTCAATAATTTCAGTTTCTACATGCTTTAGTTAGTTTTGAGCTGTTCTGAAAATTGATATTGTTCTTACAAGCAGAAAAATTTATTTCTAATTCTTGTGCTACCAGAACGAAATCTGTAATACTCCCTATTTTCAGAATGTCCTTCAAAAAGAGAAAGAATCGAAATTAAAAATTAAAGAGCTAGAAGATCTACTTCAAGTAACACAGTTTTCATTAACCGAACACGTTACCAGATGTCAACAGCTTCAAGCTAAACTTGATCTGGTTAGATCTTTCCACATTTATTTCTTGGAAAATTTTGAAGATTTGATGCAACCAATTTTTCCTGAATTCTTATCATAATTTTTCTACAGTACGAAGTTCAAAGCTTCCCATAATTAGTTGAGGTAATTTAGCGAACTGAAATGTAGTTTGCCATCTTTCAGCTTGGCTCAGCAACGGATCAAAGCAGTGCAGCAGGTTGCTTTTTTTCAATTCATTATATCTAGTTCTCCTTTTTAATGTAAAAATGAATGCATACTGCACCATTTAATTCTTACTCTCCTCAGCTCGTAACTTATTTTGATCTTTTTCTAAATTAAGAAATCTTTCGGCATGATATTCCCCAAACTAGTAAAACTAGCAATGGTAATTTACAATTCATATTTTATTATGAAGCATTTGATCAAAAAAATCAAAAAAAAAAAAACCTTGGTAGGCAACTTGTTAAAAATTGTAGTTTTGTCTAAAAAATTTATAGTCAGTGAACACTTAACCTTTGATAGATTAAGACTTTTCAATAATTTTGCATAGCATATATATTTGCCAAAAAATTCTTGCTTGAAATTTCATGTAATTTCTTGCTGAAAAATGATTTGTTACAAATTTATATCGAAATATTAAATTAAATACTTATACATTCCAGTTAAATTCTAAATTTCTTTTTCATTATCCTTAATTGCGCTTCCTTTTTTATAAAATCCGCGGAGAGTTCGCATCTCATCCCATCTCCAAAAAAAAGTTCTAATGGATATTGCAGCAGCAAAATGTGACACTAGTGGTAGTGATTCGTGGAATTGCTCCACACCCTGTACGATTTGTCGTGAGCTGAAGCAAACCGAACAACCAGCTCCAACACCGCAACTACAGTTAGCCATTTTAGCGGCCCGCCTGACAACCAAAATAGCCGACAATGATGCTTTATTCCGATGTAATGCTGAACTCGCCCAAACAAACCTGAAACTGCAGAATGAGGTTAGCGAATTGAGGGAACAGATGGCCAAATACATCACATCTGTCAATAACGTTGATACCGCAGCTACTAACCAACAACCAAAACAGCCCTCGAATCAATCATTGGAACAGAAAGCAATGCATATAGAAAAAAAGGAATGGACACCGGATGCAGATTTCGATGCAAAGTTAGTCAGCAATTGGAAATTCGAAGATGCTTATCAGCAATCTTCACTGGATCAACAGATTACTGATTTCTTGATGAAGGATGAAATCAACACGCGTAGCTTGAGAAAGTTGGAACCCCAAGAACAAGATAAAGAAAGCTTGAAAAAGAAGTTGAATGCAAGCAGAAAGTTTGAAGAGAAAAATGAAAAAATGGAAAATAACGCTGGAAGGTTGGGGAAATGTCTCGAAGCCTCGGGGGAATATTGCTTGAAACATGAAAATGGAATGGAAGAGGTAGAAGATGGATTGGAAATAAGACAGTATGAAGATGCCAAACATCAGCAAAAATTAAAAAAAACGTTTGAAGACAAGAAATTGAAAGTAAGTCGAATCGACAGTGAAGAGTTTTTGTCGCTAAAAAGCCAGAATGTGCATATGGGAAATTCAGATCAAGAATCGAAAAGATTGAGAGAAGAATTACATTCCACTAAGATGCCTTATGAAAATGAGAGAGTACATCGCAAGCTATTTCAAGTGGGTTTCACTAAGAGATCAGAAGAACAAAAAAAGGCAGTAAAGACAAAATTAGAAGATGAGGGTGACTGGATTTCGGATAGCGCTCCAGAACATTTTCAAACCTTGCTTGAAGAGCAAGTACAGGATATCGCTCGGGGTAGTAGTGTCGAAGAAGGGAGAATGAAGTTGTTGCAGGAATTAGAAGAGCAACTTCAACAAAAGGAAATTGAAATGCAAGAACTTGAGAAAAGGAATAGATCTCTAAGTCAACAATTGAAATCACAGCAACGACTGATTGAAGGATTGGAGAAGAAACTCGATGTGACAGAAGAATATAGCATGACACTGGAAGAGAAAAATGTGAGCATGGAACAAGAAATTACTGATCAAAAGAAAAAATACAAAGAGCTGATGATGGAAAAAGTGAGGTTAAGGGACGAAGTAGAAAATGAAGTAACAGCGAAATTGCACGTAGAAATTATGTTACTCAAGCAAGAGAATGAAAGCCTGATCGTAGAGTTAGCCAAAAAACAAACATCCCTAGATGAGGAAAAGGCAAAAATGAAAACTAGATTAGTAAATTTAGAATATCGAGCAGTGAATCGCGAAATTGACCTCGAGAAATCGAAGACAAAACCAAAGCACACGCAGGAAGAGAAAATCCAGATGGAACGACAGTTAGACGGTAATGGTACGCAAATGAATGAGCTACAGGGAAAGAATGAAGTTGATCAGGAATTCCATCAGCAACTTGTTGAAGCACAAAGAAAAATAACAGAACTAAAGCGCAAACTGGATCAAGTAATAGAACAGAACGGATTATTGAAAAATGGCGAGCAGAAATTAATGGATGCTCTTGTGATCTCTAACAAACAGCTAGCCGAAACGGAATCTAAAAATGAGAGGCTGGAATCAGAAATTTCTAATCTGCAGGCTTCATTATTAAAAGCCGGAGAAATGGCTAAAAAAACAGATCATTCGGTAAAGTTGATGCAGGATGATCCGAATGCGATGATCGAGATACATGCAAAGGCAGGGACAAGGTAAATTTACTCTTCATGAATTTTTTATTACTTTGTTACTGACATATATCACTGACAAATGCTGCTTAAGCATGAATAGTTCGGTGATATACATATATATATATAAAGTCATATTCAACGGCTGCTCATCTCTGCTATTATGATAATAAATTCACTTTTCGCTATCAGTTATTGTTTTAATTGTAGTTCGGCATCGATACAATCACTTGATAACCCTGTCACTATTGAGCGTTATTGTCCAGTGCAGGAAAAGGTTAATTTAAATTTTATAATCAGAATTTATCAAAGTTGGATCAGCTAGAAGTTTTATTGTTCTTATAAGATAAATTTTTTCTTTTTTATGCTTAAGGTAGATGAATTGAAGGAAGAATTCAATGAGGCATCAAGCGACAATATATTAGTGAAGAAAATTCAGTTCAGTGCTTTGGAAAAGGTAATTTTATACAATTGTTTTTTCTCACCCTAATCTTTTAATTTCTTTAATATATTTATTTGGATTGTTAGTTAATGTATAAATGTTCTTAATCCATTTTCCTACGCGTGCTATCCTTTAGTATTAAAATGATCTTTGCCATCATATTCCATTTTCCTGCAAAAATCTTGGAAAAAATACTTTTATTTCTTGGCATTGTAGTTTTTCGAAAAGGAGTTCGATTTTTTGGGAATTAAATAAGTTTTTAAATTTTTAGATGAAATGCAGTTTGTTTTATAAAACAAATTTCTTCTTTATTATGCTAACTTTGTTGTAGAAGACTCCACTTTCTGCGGAATTGAGGACGTATCCAGTGCGTAGCTCCGTTTCTACTCCATCACCTTTCGAAATTAGTTTTCCAGAACTAAACGAAACTGAAAGCAATTTGAGTAGTAAATCGTCTCAAAAAAAAGTTTCAACTTTTGATAATGTTAGTGCTACTACGCTTTCTTTTTACTAAACCTTCAACAATTTCTAGATGGGATCAATTGATTTAGTATTCTTAAGAAACATTTTTTAATGAATTTGTAACTTTATCAGAAGTTCAGTCAGTTCAAATGAACTTTTCTTTCTTTGTTATGTGATTTCACTTTTTTTTTTCAGCCGTCCGAATCACCGTTACAAAAAACGACTCACTATTTCCCGCAGGTGGTTAGTGTTTTTTTGCTTTCTTTGTTTTTATAAAAATAATTTCTCCTTTCTGCTGGTTGAGCTTCTAAAACTATATCTCAACGTGAGAGAACGTGGGCTCATGAGATATCACTACTGCTGAGTTTGGTGACGTTTGTAGCTCTATTGGATTTTTTGTCTGAAATTTTAAAACTTTTTCTGCTACACTTTCCTCGTTCATCTTTGCTTCAGACTGCACCGAAAGTAAACGAGTTGAAAATTTTTTTTATTTCATATCTTTTTAATATTACTTTAGGGATTCGGAATTTTTTGGACTTCAAAACTTTTTCAGAACGAAGATAAATTGCGGCGGCGAAAAGGTGGCGGTGGTGGATTTCAGGGTGCTGAGAAGATATAGTTAAATAAATGAAATAAAGAAGAATTAGCTTGCCTTCGGGATTTTCTGTTTCCACATGAATCTAATTTTGTTCATACTATTTATATTTATCCGGTTCATCAATTTTAAATTATTTTTTGCTGCAGATTGTTGTTCGCTATCTCAACATTTTTTATTCATTAGTTTGCTCTAACATCTTTCCAACTTACTTTTCGGGTTTTGCGGATATTTTTGATTAACATTTGTCCCTTCCACATTCTTAAGTTTGTAGTCATATCTATTTTTTATTCACCTTATTTCAATTTGTCGTTTTATATAAGACTATTTGACTACAAAGTTAAGTACTTGCATAGTCCTCGCTTGAAGCATTACTTATGCAAATAGCTGAATGAGTTCCAACTTTTGAACTGCTTAAGTGTTTTAAATGAACTTCTCACCTAACTGAGATTGTTATGCTCAACCATCTGCCATTTCCTTTCGTCTTAGAAGTCCAGCAACAAGTAAAAATCAGATACAAGCGTTATCCATTATTTTTGCTGTATTTCGATAAACTTTTTCGTCAGATGTCGTTGGTCAAAAGAATGCAGAGAGATATAATGAGGGAACAAAAGTATTTTGACAAGGATTATTTAACTGTCCTTGATACTATTGCAATATATATGAAATGATAGAATCGACTAATAATTTGTAACTAATGGTAATGAGTGCGTTATGAACCAAACAGAAGTGAAATGGTGCATTATGGTTTTCTTCTGGGAATTTTTCTTTAATAAGAAATTTTTATTTTAAAGTTATCGGATACAAAGTATGTTTCGCAAGACACCATTAAGACGGGGAATTTACTAAAAATCAGATCATATAGTAGCAATTTCAATACCATCTATCTAATTAAATCTTGTAGTGCTTCGAGCATTGTAATGATGTTAATAAGATCGATATGCTCGACGAGAAATTAACGGAATGGTGCATGAAAATACGAAAGAAACTTTTGTCACTTGTGATTATTTCTGAAAGAAGGAATTTGTTGAATACTGTTATCCGAATAAAAAATTGGATGAAATTGGATGAAAACGTAGAAGCTTCCATAATTATAGATCTAGAAAGATACGACAAAAAAGACAACGATAATATTTGTGTTCAAATTGGGGATTCAGGAACTGTAGCTAAAGATTCAGTAACAATCTCGAAAGAACTAGCAAGTTTCAAATTAAAAGCACTCATTGATCGCGAAGAGGTTAGATGGAACTGAACATCGAAAGAATTGAAATCAAGATCACCTCAAACGGAAGTTGAGAAGATTTCAGTTGAGTTTCCTGCCAATTTAAAGACTTAGTAGTTTCAGTTGACAATGAGGCTTTAGCTTCTGAATATTCTGTAGCGTTTTCTTCGACAAATGTTCGCAACGAAATAGTGATAGTACAGGAAAATGACGAAATGAAAAGCATGGACTCCTTTTGTCAGGCAGTGGATCAGGAAGATGCAAAAAATATTTTTGTAGCTGATACGAATTTCACGCCTTATACATTCGGTCAAATGGGAGGAATGCTAGAAAGCGGTGATGTAAGATCGGGAAATCCAACATCCTTTTCAGCATCGATGCAAACCAAATACAATAACGGTTTTACAGAAGTTATAAGCCAGAGAGAAACTTACGGAATTCAGTTTGCTGATCACGTAAGTGAAGTCGATGTACAAATTGATGCAAGGTCTCAGGCAAAGATAACTTTAATTTCGGAAGAAAATGTGGACGAAATGGTCATATGTGCCGAACCTATTATGCTAATCAGGAACAAGAACTCTATATCCGAACGGCTAAAAAATGCGTTCAAAACTATACGTTTGATGAGTTGACGAGATTTCCTCTTCTACTTTTTCAGTCTCATTTTCTTCCGCTTTCATTAGTTAGCATTTAGGACTAATTGTCTTTCACACGTCGCACATTTCTTCGTTAGAAATACTGATCGGAACGATTGATATACGTATCATCTGCTATTTTTACACCAAATTTGTCTTTCTATCGCTGAAAATCAACTTTTAATCTGACGATTGATTAGACTTTCTGTGATTTAGGAGACAACAACTTGTTTACTGTACTCTGACATATTATTTTTTTTTATTATTTTTATTTTTACTAATTTTATATTATTTTTATATTATTTTATTTTTACTAATTTTAAATGAATTATGCTTTTAATTCCAGCTGGAAGAAGGTATTGAAGTGGTGAAGTGCAATATGATGTAGATATACGAAACGTACTTTGGTCATAACTGAAAATTTTGATTAGTCATGTTTTTCTCAGCTCTTATGAAATTACTCATTTGTATTTATTCAACTACAATTAGTAATATACCCAGCGTGATGTTGTTTAACAATAAAATTTGAAACTGAAATTTAGAAAGACCTTGATTTATATTGCCTCAGAATATACACATGATTACCGCATCCCTGGCCAGGCCCAACGGATCGGCTCCGTCGTTATTTGCGTAATTTGCCACATCGGCGAAATACTATTCGATTAATTCTTTGCTATTTGTTTGTGTTCTATTTCATCCTTTTACATGGAATATTTTTTCGATGTAAAATATTTTAGATTTACATAATATATTCTGATGATCTTATTTTTATTTACAACCCAATGAATTGTTGTTTTTGATTTAAGCTGGATCTTTATTCCATATTTCATATAACATCGTCTAAAATAAATATAAGTGAGAGAAATCTATGGCTTTCATTCGTAATTTCTATAAGAAATGTGATATCTAAAATCTGCCTTATTTTTCACTCATAATGTTCAATTTCAACTCTTATAATTCAGTACAAAGGCAATGTATTATAGCAAAGCACGCATTAGGCGATAACAATTCCATTCATATGGCAATGATACTGCAGTGATGACACAAATAGAAAAGACAAGAAGAAGAGGTGGAAGGCTTGCTCTTGAAATTAGCATAATCAACAGAATGACGATCTTGCACAGCAACCAAAATATCTGAAATTTAAAAAGTGAGACAACTTCATTTACTCGTTGCAAGTGTTAGCTATTTTTCATACTACAAAGTGTGCAATAAATTTAACACAAGAGAGGTTTCAAATGGATATGCTAAAGTAATTAAAACTCAGGCAGGTAAATATTACTGATAACCTCAGTAGCATGTAACTGCGAACAAGAGAAATATACCGAAAAAACAATATGCGGTAAAAGAAGTGACGGTAAATTGCTGAATAATCCAACAAGTAGAATGAGTGTGCATAGAATCCAACAAAGTGTAAGTGCCCAAATTATAGCTACGACCAAACTGAAAAGCTACCTTTTACTTAACTGCAAAAATAGTCCAGGAGATCATCGTAGATAGTCTAGTACAAGATTTTAGTTTCTTGACATTTAGTAAATCTTATTTGAAACTTGTAAAGGATCTTCTAGGGACATGATAATCTACAGATAGCAATTCAGACTGTAAAAAAATTGCGTTTTGCAAATTCCAAAATTCGAAATATCATCAGATCTTCATGTTGAGTGAAACAACGATCTTCTTCTATCTGCCATGCAATATTTAACATGAATTTTTATCAAAAAGTTATTATATCTTCTAATATAGAAATAGTTAAATTGAAAGTAAAAAGGAACGTTTCCTAATAATTTCAATAGTAGAGTAAAATATCCTGTGAACGATTTATTCCATGTTAAAAAATAAACTTACCGACTTTCACCGTCATAAAAATCATGAAAATTGCGATGAAGTAGGATCGTATTTTCGATGAAATGACTACTTGCAAGCATTAGCTGTATAATAGCCAATATGCAAATAGCCTTTTTAGCTGGAACATGTTTTGGCCCAAAATTAGAAGGCAATAATTCTTTTTGCGTTTTTTCCTTCTCTTTCTCTTTCTTCAAATCTTCCGGATGATTTCCATTCATGTTAATTCGAATGTCAATTTTGATGAATTTGCAAGATATTCGTGTTTTAAAAAAAAATTTATAAAATTCTAGCAAAAATAAAATTTAATTGCAATTCTAAATTATTGATGGAATTGAAAACAATGACATAACCTTAGAAAGCTTCCAATAAAAAATGAAAAGTTACAACTTAATCCGTTTAGATCTACCTTTAATCTAATCACACTTAATTTTTTTCTATACTGTCACTTCAATCCATGTTTCTCTGGTTTTCTTGGCTCATCTTTTTCATTAGCATCTATTATTAATAGATAAACTAATGGCATATCACTAGAACTTATCGTTTCCTATATTTTCTAGCTGTCTAAAATTCGCTAAGCAATTAACATTGATTACTGAATTTGAAAATAAGTCGGCATTTCGAACAGAGAGATAAGCGAAAAATGAGGATCATTTCGTCAGCAGAATTTTTGCACATCGGAAATTTGATATTGCAACTGTCTGGCATGCTTTGCTTTTGTATACATAACTGATATGCTTAAATGATAAAACTCCACGACTGGAGAAATGGAATTTTCCTAATTTAAACACAAATTTATATTTTTCAAAATTTCTGTTCCAAAAATTTGTGTCGAACTTTGAGATCAATTATAATTTAATCTCTCAGATTTGCAACCTTTTCACGATGTAGCACCATTTATATCATTTGGCTTTGGTCTCATCATTAAACACTAAATAAAAGATTGACGTTTGATTTATATGAAATCGATTGGAAAAGTTTTTCCACCAGTAAACTTTGAAAAAAAAAACTAAACATTTCAATCAATCCTTGAAGTTCTTTTACTCTTCTAAAATGAATCAAAATATTGTGTTTAAAATTCTTTTTGCATATTGCGCGTTCACTGGCATCAGTACCAACAAGTACTGACCATGGCCTTGTATTTAAATACAGATGCAACAAAAAAATTTAACGGTAGACCTGAATTACTTTCAACAAAGCAGGTGAATGGCATGGAATACCATAGCTTACAAAACAATTCAGTAATTACTAAACAGAAAATAAAAAAGAAAAATCAGCGAGAAAATGCAGAAGAAATTGAAAAATCAAATCCATCAAGAACTGGTAGATCTAGAAAAATTACAAAGTAAATAAACAGAACAGCCTTAATGAAAAATTTTGTTAATATAATGTAATGATAAAAAGAGAAAAAATTTGTCGAAATTCCAAAAAATCCTAAAATTTCTATTACAATATTAATTTAATTCCAATCTAAAGTATTTCTGGCAAAATATTTCCTTAACTTATGACTTTCTTGTTTAATACCATGAAAGTCATAACTTAATAATTTTGAACAGTGGTATGTGTACATCACTATGACAAATGAGAAAAAATATGCTACAATCTCCAGAATTAATGATATTAATGAAAGCCCATTTGATTACAAACAGTGTTGTTTACTTTCCATCATGCTATTTTCGAAAATTTTTCAACTATATTTGTCATCATTCTAACCCGCTTTCAAGACGAAATTGATCAAAAGCTATCCTAATGAATGTGAGAGAAAAAGAAAATGAACATAGCAATGTAAAGTCATATACAAGCGCTTCGATGGAAGGCTGCCACGAATTTAAGACTTAACAAAAGCAGGGTGTAACTACACGTAAATATAAGACAAGAAGTAACAATTAATAGCTACAAAGTAAAAAATAGTGACCAAAATATGACTTAAAAATTAAAACTGAACTAAAATTATAAGGTGTTTGGCTTCTCACCACGTGCAAATATTGCATCTCGTCCAACCTGTACTATTGCCGGATGATTCTGTGCATGTTTCGCATTCAGACTAACGGTATAAACAGCACGCTGATAGCGATTACGGAAAATACCATCATAGATTAAACCATCATCCCATTTCACTTTGATCTTTAATGATATTTTAATTAACAATAATGAAATGAATGCTACAAATAATCAGCAATGAAACTGATGAAGTGTGCCATGATAACGGATATCCTTCTTAAGCTTTCAAATCTTCAATTTGAATCAAAGATATCCTAGCCCATATAAGGACTTAATTTTTATGGACTCCAACTTTTAATACCGAATATTTTGCTGAATACCCTACCAGTTAATGAGGATGTAAGGAAATTTTTCCTTACTCCACTGAAAATCTAATTCGTGTTTGACATTTCGTAACTTGCCAAGAGACAGTGAAACGTGAAATGGTGCTTATCGTTTCAATTATACCTTCAATACCTCGTAAAATTAAAAATACTTACGACGATATTTTTTCAAAGCCGAAAATCTATGAAATTAAATAAAGAATAGTTCAAAAAGTTCCGTAAACATTCATATAAAAACAATGAACCTTAGCTCCCGGTACGTGCCACCCATTGCAGTTAAATCGCGAACATTCACATTCGACAATATCTTCTGATGGCAAATCATCACTCCAATTACGATCCATAAAATTTACTGTACAACAATCATGATATTCAATACTAGAAACCGTTCCTTTGAGTAAACGGCCGCAATCGTTCGAACATACACGAACGTTATCACCAACTGATACTGCTGATGTATTTACTTCACCTATTTAATTTTAAGGTTTTCATTTATTTTTTTAATTTTTTTCTAATTTTCTGCATTTTTCATTTGCTGTATAAATCTCGGCACACAAGATTTTAAATTACGAACATTACTAAATAGATTATTAAGAATATCATTCGTTGAATTTCACCATATTATAAAATAAGATTGGATATTTAATGATGAATTTATCCCAAAGTCGAACTAACCATCGTTATGCTCAGGACAGACAGCAACGGTAAGATCTGGCCAGTTACGGAATTCGAAAGAAACGCCTGCTAGACGACCACACGTTGCATGAAACAGCGTATCATCGCACGAAAGACATTTTAACAGTCCTGGAATATTAATCTAAGTTCATCGCACGAAAGACATTTTAACAGTCCTGGAATATTAATCTAAGTTATAACAATTTGTAATCCAACTATCATTAAGATCAAGTTGCATCCTTTTCTAATTAAGAGTTTTACACAAAATTAACTATCTGCTCACCTTCACGTGAATGCAAGCAAAACTCGCATTCAAATTTGCCTCGTTCATAATTCTCGCCAAAGGCCCCCATATATTCCTCGTTCATGAGATCTGGATACTTGTTCGGTGCGCAAAACTTTGGTGGTGGTAAAGTGTACGCTGATGTTAGTTTTACTGGATCGAGAAAAACTGTACGACGATTTAACAAAGCACAAATAACGTGAACAAAATCTCCTTCGCTCTGTAAACCCAATGTGAATTGAAATATAAAACAGATAATCTTTCTATTCATATTTTACAAACTTTCAGTTGTTTAAATTAACATACACCTTCGATTTCTTGATCTCCATAATTTCAAAATTAATTTAAAAATACAAAATTTTTTTTAAAAATGTAAAAGTCGATAATCAAAAGTGTGTTAAAGCCAACAGTCTCAAAGCAAACATTTTCACAAGGTATGAGAGCGCCTCCACGTAGTTCGCAAAGGTGACAACTTGCTGAACGTAATATTAAGTCATCACGTTGCCTACAACGTACACATTTCCATTCAGTTATATCTGGAAAAGATATATCCAATAATATATGAAGATTTAATTTAAAAAAATACATCTAAAGAGAAGTTAGTAATGAACCAAATTTAATTAAACTTGAAAGGAGAATACAAAAAAATCAAGTCCATTCATATATTTCTAGATATCAATTATTTTGGAAAATAAATTTGAATTCCAAATATAAACGAAAACTAAATAACCATTAGGGATATTCCCGATCGGATAGCAGCCTTCATGTACAACTACAAAGCAGTTTGCGCACTTGAATAATCGATCATCACAGGATGTATCATTCTCATTTATATTATACGTGTCGGGATTTGTTTTCGCATAATATGCACGTTTCACAAGACGTTGCGATCTGAAATACATTATTCAACCTAGAACTACTTCAACCGCAGGTAGGACCAGATATAAAATTAAAGCAAAATGATCCTTCGATAATTAATTGGAAATTTCGTGATAGGAAAATAAATGAAATGACTCACGTCAATGGCAAATTCTTTTTCTTTTCCATGAGTGGTTTTGGTACAAAATACTGACATATGGAGCAATGTGGTGTATTATAAGCGTGACGAATATTGAACTCTTTTTCAGCGTAAAGACTTCCAGGCAAATTCGACCATAAATCTCGAACCTTAAGAAAACCTTCAAAACATAAAAGAATTAATAATATACCAATTTGGAAAAAGTGATATCATGAGAATATATGCTACAAGCCACCATTAAAATTAGTTATAACTTCGCCAGGAACATCGGAGTATTTCATTGTAACTTAAATAAAATCAAGAATATTCCTACCCAATAGAAACTTATTGGGAATTACCTCCTTTTTCCATTTAGTATTTACAATCATGTTTGAAACCGCTGTCGACATTTCTTGCTCGTTACTATTCATATCACCATTAAATCCTTAAATATTAATACCAGATGTTTTAGAAACTTACAGAAAATAAAAAAAAGGCAAATTAAAGCCAAAATATTTAGCAGACATACCAGAACTTCCTGCATCGATACCATCTTCAACATGCGGTCCACGTGCGCCTCCACTTTTCTGAGTTTTCCGACGCTTCTTCCTCTCCACTGCTTTCTCATCACATACCGGTTGACGTTTCGAACACGTCACTTTTCCTGCATTCAACAAAATAATTTGAACTCAAGTGAGAACGAAAAATTTGCTTACCTTAGCACAAAGATTATGACTATATTCAGAAGAATGAGTCAGAAATCTACTCCCTTTTAATGACAACTACAATTTCATTGAAAATAAATTACTTCTATCTTTGACAAGTCGTTCACCGTACCAATACTGGTACCATTCATCATATTCAGCAGCTCGATATGCCTTCATAAACGGACGCATATCAATTTCAACACTGTCTGAGCGGCAACCACATACCAAAGCATTCTTACCTTAAGGAACCAACATATAAGATTGAGAATAATGAGTTCGACAATTTCGTTACTGTTTGGTAGTACATAAAACCAAAAAATTGTAATTCAAAATTAAAATGCTATACAGGTCTTTAAAACTCTGACCAAAATCAATCCATCGATCGGATCCAAAATTTGTTGATTCTGCACAGTTGTAGCCAATATTAAAACCCATGTGATATCCCTGCAATAGCTCAAATTGAAATTAAAAAAAGTAAAAAGTTGAGTTTACAATTAACTTATAAATAAGAGAAAGGCGAAATAAACAAAGCGAAATAAAAAGGAGATAGAAACCGGTCAAATAAAAAATATATAAAACTAAATTTAAAATAAGAAAGTTTCCTTCCTGTAAAAAATATCAAGTTTTTTTTCACAGCAACTTACACACTTACCCGTGGAAATGTAATTATGAACTCATTTGCATACTGAACCATCGTTCCGTATCTGATATTGTTTTTTCGCAGAACGTGTGGAGAGATCATGAAAGTTTTGTGACGCAAAAATGATTTACATGATTTTGCTGCTGATGGGAAACACTGCGCAGCAAAACGTTCAAAACGACTCAGCGAGTCCGTAGCTATGGCATACCAAAACTAAAACAATTACATGAAAAATCATTCGAATGAAAAATCGTGAAGCAATATGTTGGTGGTGATCATATAGTTTTACTTTCACATGTGATACTTTATTGATAAGAGCTTAGGATCACGATTAAGATCCCAGTCATTCCGATTCCACTCAAGATCTTTCAAGTATAAAATTTCCAGCTTAGGGAATACAAAATGAAGAAAAGCAATTTTCATTCGAATTCAACCAAATCTTTGAAAAGATAAAAGGTTAAGGAAATCTGACAAAAGTTCTTGCTGGGAGTTGAATGTACGAAATATTATGCATGAAAAAGGTAGGCAAGCTAAACAGCACCAGATTGCACAAGCTAGCAGATATATCTCTCCCCAAACTAAGCAACCAGTAAAAAACACTCTTTGAAACGAGATATATTTCAACCGATAGCGAACTCCGAGAGAATTAATGAAAAGGCAGTGCAATAAAATAATACAGTGATGCTATTAAAAGTGATGCTAATGATAAATGACCTTCGGTTTACCAAAATGAACATAATTGATAGAGTAAAGATCCATGTCTTCGGGATGCCATGGGAATGTCGTTTTCCACATGCCGAAATACAAATAAACTGTGTTCACTCCTTTAATTTTCACCTAAAATCAGCAGCTACTAGATCTACTCTTTAAGAAAAAAGGATGTTTAAGTTAAACTTAAACAATCATTATTAAAATCTCTGGTTATATGGCAAAAAAATGAAGCAGGCACCCATTTAAAATTTCAATAACTCACACTGATTGGGTGACTGTTTTTGTATGATTTCGATAAGTTGCACGTCACCTCATCATTCCGGAAATATTGCTTAACAACTGAATTAGTAAAGAAGGTTCCCTGACAAAAAGCCAGCTAACTATGATCACAATGACCAAAAGGCTATCAAACTGCAATTTCTGAAAAATTAAAATTTCTTACTCCACTATCATCTACCATATCGAGAACCGTGCCCAAATGATTCATATTGAATTCTTTAAGGTTTTCATCACATATGGTTCCTGGTGAGTCGGCACCATAAACTGGTTCGCCTTGTAATACATGTTTCCAGTAATATCTGAATTCATGGAACTTTTAGAAATTTTAATACAAAGAAGTTCAAATATATGTAAGTGAATTCTTTTCTAAAATATTACAAAATGAATTGTTGATCCCCTCATAAAATGTTCATATTGCACACTTATAGGTTTACATATTTCAAGTTTAAAAGAAAAAGAAAAATCACAGTCCATAAACTTACTTCTCAATCTTTTGTAAGGATAAATCACTCTTCGGAAAAGGTGATTTTTTTGCAAGCGCACGAAATTCTCGTACAGTAATTGATCTTCGATATAATCTATTTGTTTTAATATACACTCCAGCATTCCCCTCAATTTTTTCTTTCACGGGCCTGAAATTTTAAGTTTTGGATTGGTTTCCAGTAAATCTTTCTTTTTGCTTAAAAAAGGTGAAACATTATAGAAAAAAGAACACTTACTGATCGATGACATAGTTATCCACATCCGAATAGTCGCCTGATTTTCTTGCATGGAATTCCGGCGGGGGTACGATCTAAACCACAAGTATATAGTAAAAAAAAATACAATTTAAAACTGAAATAAGAATACCAAAGTTTAAATTTACAAGGCGGATCATGATGCCAGATTATTATCAAGTTAATATCAAATCAGAAATATCAAATCACCACTCTCTAGATTTCAACAAAGTACGTTGCTGACTGAATACGATCACCTCAACATAGATTTATAAAAATTACTGGATATTTCAACAATCATCCCTGTCATCATTATAATAAACCCCACTCCATCAGCTCGCAAAAAATGATGGGGATATCCGGAATGTCATAACTAAAATAATGGCTTAACCATTGATCCACTTGTTGCAACAAAACAAAATACTTGTGAAATATAAGGCATATCTTCAGTCATAAGCAAGTATTTTCTGTCATATGTGCACACATACACATACATACATGTACATACATGCACATACAAATATGCACATATACACACACACAGACATACATATACATAACACATTCACATATGCATACACACACTCGTCACGGTAGCAGTCGAGACAACCAACAGCTCTTCCCTTCCGAAACAATTCTCTTTTCTCCCTTACATCACACACTTCGTCTTTATTACTCTATCTTTTCCATTATTTACTAGACTTTGTGTTTAATAAGAATCTCCATAGACCGTTCACCTTCCTGTTTCAGGTTAGAAGATAAATGAATGACGCACATCGATTCGCTCTTCGTAGCAAAAATGTTTAAGAACGGACGCAGAAGCAGAGGAGCTTAATTTGATCAACTGTAAGCATTTCTTTGTGCATTATTTGGTTGAATAAGTGTCAGCGCTATCAATGACCTACAACTCAATAGCCTATGTTTCATTAACATCCTGCAACAGGTCGTTATTCTTTGCACTGTTATTAATCTATAAAATACCAAATTGATATCTGCTCAACAAATACAGTGATCATCAGCTAGTTGTTCGCATCATTTGCTATTCCTAAAATGCGCTCCTTGATTATCAAATGAAGCACGGTTCTATTTACTACTTGTTTTAACTCTTTAAAATTTGGATATAGTTAATTAGCAAACGTGTTTGGTAATAAATTCGGAAACAGCTGATGAAATCTGATAAAAAACGATGTCTAACGGCACAGTAATTAATCATTATTTTATTTCGTGTGCGATTACACATCTGCGTTTCACTTCTATGCATGTATAATGAAGTAACTTCGCTGATATTTTATTCATCAGGATGAGGAAAGCACGGCTATCATAGCTGCTGTTGGACAAAAGGACCTACATTCGAGAACAAATTAGTACTCTATCAAACTTTCACTGCAGAAATACCACGTCTTCTTTCTCTTTCTTCAATCCAAATATGGATTATCTGAAGAACTTGGTCAGCCTGCTTTTCATAAATCACCTTTCCCGATTCGTATTTAAGATATTCCTCAATTTTTCCACATGCCTAAAGCATTACTTCTATCACTGTTTGAATGTTTCTGCTAATGGTGCTGTATAGATAATGAAATGATAAGGCACACGTGTATACATACACAGATCTGATGAAACATTTGCACTGTTCAGAAGGCATCTGTTCCTGTTGTGATGTCTTCACTTGAACCACAAACTAAATATTTCCTTTATTTGTAAATATTCCTCGCATGATTTCCTCTAATAACGTTGCAGGCATCTCTAGGATAGTATTTGGATGGAACTAAAGGATAAGGGGATATGATGATGATACATTTAGGAATCCTGACATAAGATCTACATGAGATCTCAATTTTTCATAATATCCAGCCGAAAATATTGAAAAATTCTTCCAGAATGTAATAAGGAAATCCTCAGAAGTTATAAACAGATGATTGCGCAAATCTTCAGTTCGCTTATAGATACCTCATGAGTTACTTAGGTGGTATTCACTCCCTCACTGAAGGCCTCCAAAAGCAATAAAGATTATTTAAAATGGGCTGGGAATTATATAAATAAAATATAAAGCATTCTTTCGGGAGATGGGATTGAGTCGTAGCCCTCTGACCTTCATGTAAAATGAAGTTGGAATGAAAGGTGAATGGACGCTGAGAACATATCATAAACAATGGAGAAATGTAGCCATTTAAAAACGATTAGAAGGAGAACCTTTGCAATGCCGCAAACCAGATGCGCACGGTGTTGTTGCTCGATTTTATTGATCAGCGTCGGAAAATCACGCATTTCTTCGATGGTTGGATAGAAAACAGGTACTTCGATGGTACCAGTAGATGCAAACGATGGATGATGCTGATTGTTAGCGGAGGTACTAGCCGCAGGTGTATCCATGATTTGTGTTGTGAAAGTCTGAAATTTGGAACAATTTTACGTTTAGAGTTAATTTTGCAACGTTTCACTTCGCGTTTCCAGCTACAAATCAAGGCTGTTTGTCTTCCGAGCTAGACTCGGGTAATTGCGATTATGGCATCGATAAGTACTCTCAGACTCCTCCTTTCAACTCATTACAAATAATGGATAGTTCGAACTGCATCAACTGGTATTCAGTAATGTCTCTCGAGTTTCTGGAAAGTGTCAGGCGGAATTCTGTGAAAGTAAACAAAAAAAAAAATCTCATTCTCCAATTGAGTTACCAATAGGTCAATGAATCTCATTTACAGGTTATTTGCATTCGTAAAATTTCGCAACTTGCAGAACTGATACTCTACAAACCTGTATAACTTTAAACATAATTTTTCCAATCCACTAACATCCCCAGCAATATACGTACACAATAAACTGATTGTTAACTGCATTTCAATGAATTCTGGTCTTTAAAACTTGCGCATTACGATCAGTTTGCAGCTATTCACACCTCTGATAGAACAACCTCCTGTGCATAAAACAACACTCCCTGACGTTTGACCCGTGTGTTAGCAAAATCAAAATTCTAACACTTGATGTGGACAGTATTATTTTACGAATCCATTTGAAAATTTTGGGACATCTATTTTTTTAAAGTTTTCAAATGACAGCGTATAATCAAATATCCCCCATCAACAAGCAAAAAATGAATTACTGATTCTTACCTTGTGAAAGACTAAAAACTAGAAGCTATTAGTACTGGGTAGAAGTAGCAAAAGGGCTTTTCAACCCATTTATTTCCTTCTATCGCTCATTCGAATTTATACCAACCTATTACCATTAACATAATAAGAATCCTTTTTCAGTTGGAATCAAAAAACGATGCATTTGTTTTTGAAATTTTGATTTCTTAATCTACTATAAAAAAATTATCGTTTTTGTCCTTGCAAATCAGACTACTATGCAGATAAAACCATTTAACACTAATTCTTGAAGCATCCTTCCAGAGGAAGCATAACATCAATCAAGACGAAGAAGATGGCAAATATTGTATGAAAAATGATTCCAGAAAATGGGGAGAGAAGTTCCCTATTGAAAAAGCTCATTTAAAGGAGAGATCACAAAGAAAGAAACCAGCCAAATCTACCCAAAATAACATCTTAATTTGATTAGACTATTGACAGAAGAGCAACAAAAGCAACGATTGTGGCCGTTAAACGGCCAAGCGAGCTAAAACAGAAATAGGAATGGTGAACTCTGAAATAGCCCTCCCCATAATCAAAACACACACACATCTGGAGCAGGTGTGAAATATTCCTACTTTGTCATTTACGTAACTGTAGTAGCGCTCGATTTTGATGATCCCGAAAAATATTTTTTATGCTTCGCAAGTTAGAATATAATTGTGATTTATTCCTTGATAGTATATCCCGCAACTACGAAAGCCTCAGAAGTAAAAATTAAGTTAATCTCATAACAAGCAGAAAACTTCTCGACTATCAGGTTAAACTTCAGCTTTTGCGTATTTAGCTTTTGCTACATACGCAACTGAAGCACATGACCCTCGCTGTCCAGAAATGGATGAGGAATCCAACAAAATTGAAATATATATAAGACGTGAAAAATAACATAAGCTGCAATGCTAAAAAGAGAAACGCCCGGAAGCTTCCGATTAACGACTGACGGATATCTATCCCTCCTGGTTTGAAACTGCAATTGAATAACGATCGATGGATAGCTATCCCTCATGGTTCGGCCAAAATTTGAATAGTTCAATCGATAATGGAGATATTTGTGGAGTGAAAAAAGATCAGCTCTTCAGGAGAGCTCCTGACCTTCTTTTATTCTCATTCCTAGAACCCCAGTCTCTTTTTCACTGATGAACTGAAACTATTCTGCAACATTTAATGCCCAACGCCGACCAAATAAGATACAGAACCCACCCCCGGAACAACCACCTACAAATTGCCGTGAGCTGCACGGTTGGTTGAATTCTACTAGTAGCCTTGATACTACTTACGGCTCGCTATGCAACCGCAACGTCCTTAATAATAACCTTCTGGGTTTGCAACCTTCACAAGCCGCTACGCGCTGCAATTCCGCTGAAGAGATCGGTAGAATTAATTGTTTCAATTCATCTTGGAACAACAAAGAATGTTGGGACATTAATTTAGGTTACTTCATTAAATAACCTATGGTCATTCGGATTTAGTTAAAACAACACGAGTAACAAAAACAACATACAATGTTCAAACATGTATTACTACAACAGATCTAGTAACAATTAAATGTGATAAGATTCTGCTTTGTTGCCAGCGAAAACCAC